GAGTTTCCAAAAAAAAAAAAGGCAGGGTGACAATTTATGTAAAAAAAGTCAGGATAAAATAATAAAAAAAAGAGGCAGGACCGAACAGAGTAATAAATAAAAAGACAGGACAGAGATTACAACTAATAAAAAATGCCCCCCCCCCCCCCCTCCATAAAAATCTATTGGTAGCTCCCTAAGCAATTTAGTGACATTTGTTTGTTTGTCTTCAATTTGCGGATCACTTCCTTTCTCACTAACTTTTGATCCCTTAATTAAACAACTAAAGCCACACTGAATTGCATTAGGGAGAAATTGTAAGTTGTCAACTGTACATAAAAACAATTCATTATTGTAAATTAGGGATATAGAACTTGTTCCATTTAAGTGAATTATAAGATTATCATAATCACAAGCACATGCCACCTTATAAAATTCATTACAGACGTCCCTTATTTCAAAAATATGATAAAAAGTAATATAAGATAGCTTTTATAGTGTATTTTCAGAAAATACAACCAAACAATTGGGGTAACAAAACTCGTTTTCTTGGTACAAGACAAAATGTGTAAATTTACTGTGCATTCTTTTATAAAATCAGTTTATATAAAATTTGCATATTTCATTAAAGATTTAGACTAATTTAGCAGTCTTCACGCTTAACCACAAGTCCACAAGCCCAGGCTTGTAAAATTGCTTTAGGTTTGTAAAATTCTCCCCTACAAGCCAACAGAATCCAACTAAAATTTACCTAAAATTGAGCTTCGGGCTTGTGGATTCAAAAGTTTATCGTGAAGACTAATTGTTTTCTGTTATTTTACAATTCAATATGGTGAAAGACACTAAATTTGACTGACCATGAAAAATTTCGTATATACCTTAAAGTGTTATATTAAGGTATATAGGAACAAAATTGCCTGTGGACCGTGTGACTGCTTTATAGCCAGTCAAGGTAGTTAAACACTCCTGTACAGTAGTAATCTATCCAAACACATCAAACCTAGTGTATTTGCGCCCGAGTTGTATATGGCAACTTCGTCTTTTCTGCTTCCCAAATTAATTTTACAATGATTTGCCGACACATCACAGTCTATCCTTGATGTATCTACCGCGATGGAATCTTTTCTGTAAATTCATTACAATCTTGCTTACATAATCCTGAACCAGTTCAGGAACTGTTTTCACGAACACCATTTCAACTGCACATGTACAATATATATCATACTAATCATTAATAACCAATTATTTTGTTATTTTATTTTGTTCAAATATTATATTATGTTATTTTGTATACTTTGTTTTGTAATTACAATGATTATTCTGCTCAGTAATGGGCGCCGTGATTGGCACAATAAAATATCTTGTATCTTGTATCTATACTTCTTCCTGTTGTTCTTTCCAAATTTTGTTCGAATATTTCTAAAAGTTCCACGTTTTGTGGAGATTATTATACAAGGGTTCAAATTAACCTCTCAACAAATTTCTCTTACTGAATAAACTGCCAATGATCACTTTATCTTTCACTGTTTGAACTGTTTCCCTCTGTAGCTTATGGTGTAAATTGATTTTATAGGTACCGAGTCTTCTTTCTGTATAAGGCTTTTTGGTGTTTCAATGATTTTTAATCCTTCAGTTTTGTGCTCAGTTTGTTTTGCTTGTTCATTTCTGCAACCCTCATAAACCTGTGTTCCAATATCTAGGTATTTGACTGACATCTCAGACTGATTGTGTTTGTTTATTTCATGATTTAAGGTTTGTCAAGCTTCATTTCGTCTGTCTGTGTTTCATGGGCTTTCGTTGTACTTTAGATCTGCACCTTGTTATCCACAAGATTGGTGTCACATTTGTTACTTCTTCCATAAGAATTGATTTAATACTGTTATAGCTGACTATAAGATATTGGTTGTGCTAATTATTGAAGACCGTACGGTGACCTATAGTTGCTTAAATCAGCTTCGTTTGGACTCTGGTGGATAGTTACCTCATAAGCAACCATACCACATCTAAGTTTATACTAGTTCTTTTTAGTGATCTATTATTGATCTTCACTTTAGATCTACGGAATGCTTTACACAAGGCTTTGAGGTTACTAAGAAGGAATCGCTTGGATTGCTGTGAATGAACATTAAGCTGACATTAGAGTTTTCAGTTACATAAAAATGTTACTGTTTTATCTCCGTTTGAGAATTTTCAAATTGTAGTTCTAGAGCATTTCGTCCACAGTTTGAGATCCAAATTCTGGTATTTCATTATTTTCATTTCATTTTCAATCCGCATCTTGCCATAGAACGAAAATAAGAGTCAATCCACTGTTTGCAGCCTTTTACTTGGCATTAAAAGTACGAGTTGGTTTGTGAACACGAATAAATGAAAAGAGCATTGGGGTACTGTTGTTTCAAGACAATGCTTCTGCAACAAATCCAAAGTCGATTGCAACTTGGCTTTTGCATCCTTGGTGCTTTCAAATGCAGATTCAGGGGGGTGTAGATGCCCTCTTTAGCCTTAGAATTATTCGTATTTTTGCGTACAAAAATTGTAAAAAAAAAAACCATTTTAGAGCAGTAAATGTTTCTATCGTATTTTCTGTTTTAAAATGCTGTACGCAATTTTTATTTGCATATTTCAAACAAATGTTATTCTCATCTGTTCATGGTGTTGTATGAAATATCCAAAGAAGTACAGTGGTGATATTTCAGTGTAAGAGAAAAAAACAGTACTTAGGGGGAAATATAATAGAACTATATATATATTCGAAGAAGAAAGACTACACTTTGCCACAGGAATAGACTAACAGATACACGGCAGTCAATAAAACACATCACAGAAAACTAAACATTTATCATCACCCCCCCCCCCCCCCCCCCCCAAAAAAAAAAATTAGGGTGATCTTAGGTGCACTGGAAGGATAAGAAGTTCTTTCTTTACTAGTAATGACACCCGCCTTATTGTTCACGGTATTTAAAAAAAATTAGTGACAAGTCACACTTCATGACATCAAAAACAAGGAAAGGTGACAACAAAAACTGAAACAGGATTGTGGCTATCATATACCGCAGTATGGAACATATAGGTGGTCATCTAAGACAGATATTTCACAAGTCAACAAAATCATGATGGTGTACATAAAACTTTCGACGAGATGCCACCAGCTTTACTTAAAACTAGATACATAGATTTGGTCTCTGGTGGATAGTTGTCTCATTGACAATCATACCACATCTCCGTATGTTAACTTTATCATATTTCAAAAGGTAGAAGACATGGGTACTTCATACCATACATACAACTGGAAAATGAGGGCATATTGCATAGTGACATACATTAAATTTAGCCTTGTAATATGCCATCTACACGAGGCATCGGATTTAACTTTCCAATTGTAATCAGACGTGGCTACGAATTTAAACGTCCCGCAAAACCCAAACGGATGCCCACTTTGGCAATGGTTTTACTATGATATCGGAAAACGACCCAGGGATTACCATTTCGCATTAAGGGGCGTGTCCCTTATGGAGCTATGCATATGGTCAATGCATAGACTTTTTACAAGTCTAACTTGGTGCTACCTTGTTGATGGGACCCCATTTTTTAAAATCCTGGACCATTTTGCTATACCATGTATACCTCAGCCATCATTTTGGGTTATAACGAAAGGTGACAAAAACAATAGCCATCTTTACATTTTAGCCTCAATATTGAACAATATATTTCTATACCTCAGCCAACCTTTGGGGTTATAACGAAAGATGACAAAAAACATTAGTCATCTATACTTTTTAGTTTCAATACTGAAAAATATACTGGTGTTCATATCATATTCGAAGATCTAAATTGCCTAGATCTATACCAGTGGATTATCGGATTTATCGAATCGAGATAGTTAAATTATCAATTTTAAAGTCTGAGCCTTGGCGAGGACTTTAAAATTTATAATTTAACTATCGAGATTGGATAAATCCGATAATTCACGAGTAACTATGTAAGAATCTGTTTCTCTAATGATTAAAAAATACATTTTCATTTTTTGTTAAACCAAAATCCCCTTCGAGTGCCTTCCACATTTCACAAAGTTGTCAATTTCATTAACACCTGTTAACATATTTTGAGCTGATAAAGGTTATGACCCTTAAATTCATTCAATCATCTTCTGAGATCACCGGCAACCACACGTTGATTAATTTTTTTTATACAATGAGTGCAGAAAGGTATAAATTGTCAAAGAATTAGAGAAATATATATATATATACAGACAGAAATGTTTAACTGAGACCATGATAGATCTGATCTTTGTGGACACATCCGGGTTATTCAAAACATTTCTTTATCCTTTATTTTCAATTTCTCAGTGAAAAAAGTTCGTTTTCGTGCATGTTTTTTTTTTTAAAATATTTTTCCTGAAAAAACCCATCCCGCCACAAAAGATGGTGCCTAAGCAATGATATTTCCCAAGAAACAGAAAAGCACATTAAGATTGACAAAAGACAACCACTTAAAAGGTTTCTGGCAGGGATAGGCACATGAACACGTCGCTTATTGGGCTAGTATAGTTTTAAGATCTCGATCAATCCTCCCTTTTCAATCATGTGTACGGTGAGTGGACTAACAATTAATTTTAAGGTATATATATAAGGGAATAAACGCCAATAAAAATAAATGACTTGAAAAAAAATATGAACTCTATAATACCAGTATAAATGATAACAAAACACAAGGACAAACAAAACATTGTGTTGCCTTTCTCTTTTGAATGGTTTCATATTTTGTTATCCCAGGGTTTTGTTTAGCTTATTTAAAAAAAATACTAAACATTATTGGTTTTGCTCATTGTTGAAGGGGGTTGGCATTCCGCATAACAAATTTAAATCTTTTCCTTAAGATCAATCATCCTATTAAATGAGGTCGGAGGTCATATCTTCGCATGTGATAGCCTCATAGGAGGTGTGCCATCATTGGCAGAAATTCGTTTACAAATATAGGTAACAAGCCAGGGGACAGCACTCTTCAGTCATCGGAAGGTGCGCTTTAATAGTTAATCTGCGCATGAGTAAGAGCGGGAAGAAAGGCAAGGGAACTGACAGAACGAAAGGGTTGAAAGGGACTACACAGCCCTGTTTGAAAAGAAGAAAATTGACTTACATTAACAATGACAGCAGTAGAAGTACTTTAATATTGTTCAAAGAGTTGAAAGTGGCATGCAGGAAAATGTTACACTGTTCTAATTATAACATTCGTTTGTTTTCACTGTTGAACTTCATGTGACCATATTTTTTATTTACACGTGGTTAATGAAATTTTACAAGTGCGATGAATTTGCATGTTTAGTTAGTTTTTTAACAAACACCTTATATCAGTACAATGGAGTCCTGGGACGACGAAATTGTTATCCCACCAAGTAATGGCCGTGTAAGTATTTTGCATTCGATGAATGTCGTGTAGAATGCAGTGCAAACTCATATTTTTATTTTTGCTTCTTGTAGCTACATGTATAGTGTTTTCTGTAGTACGAGCTCAATCATTAACTATCCTTTTCATCATTAATTTTATCAATTTAAACTTCATTAAACATTTAAAACTGGTAGCTGCAGTCAATCTTTTTGTTCATTTTGTGCGAGAGCATTTATAGTTCATAGTGTTAGTAAGAAAACCTTGGTCAATCATTGTTGTATCAATTATATCATAAACCTTTGGCAGAACATTCTCCTTAATGTAATTTTGATCGCATTCTGATTGGGATTAAAGGCACTGTGGTCCAGTAACATCATATTCGCATGCACAGCTGAATAAACCGTGGGTTTCGAGTTCTAGTTATGAGATGACTCATTGCCTATAGCAGAACACAACACACTGATCAATTTAATCCAATTATGTCAGGTAATTAAAACCTTGCAAGTGGCTGGTGGCAATAGGCTACTTCCTGGTTATGGCAGCCATATTGAATAGGGGGCAGATCTTGTGGATGGAGGGGGAAATAGCAAGAAATTAGAGGAAACCCTATGCATGATTCCAAGCAACTGTTGTGTATCAAAGATGTTTTCATACGACCGCAAAATTTTTTTTGCGTCGTATAATGCTATCATGTCGTCCGAAGACGCATTTAGTTTCCGGACAATAACTTTAGTTAAAGTGAATGGATCTCTATGAAATTTTACCATAGGGTTCAATACCACAAAAGGAAGGTTGGGATTGATTTTGGTGGTTATGGCACCAACAGTTAAGGAATTAGGGGCAAAAATAAGCATTTTTGTAACTTCCAGACAGTAACTTGTGTTAGTGTATGGATCTCTCTGACATTGTACCACAAGGTTCCATATCACAAAGGGAAGGCTCTAATTGATTTTGGGGGTAATTGCCTCAAAATTTTAGGAATTAAGGGGCAAAAAACAAGCATTTTTCTAGTTTCATGACAATAACTTGTGTTAGTGTATGGATCTCTCTGACATTGTACCACAAGGTTCCATATCACAAAGGGAAGGCTCTAATTGATTTTGGGGGTAATTGCCTCAAAATTTTAGGAATTATGGGCCAAAAAAGGGGCAAAAAACAAGCATTTTTCTAGTTTCATGACAATAACTTGTGTGTAAGTGTATGGATCTTTTTGAAATTGTACTACACGGTTCCATATCACAAAGGGAAAGCTGGAATTGAGTTTGGGGGTAATTGCCCAAAATGTTTAGGAATAAGGGGCCAAAAATGAGCATTTTTCTAGTTTCCAGACAATAACTTGTGTTCAAGTGTACATGTATGGATCTCTCTGAAATTGTACTGCAATGTACCATGCCACAAAGGGAAGGCTGGGATTGATTTATGGGGTAATTGCCTCAAAATTTTAGGAGTTAAGGGCCAAAAAGGGGCAAAAAACAAGCATTTTTCTAGTTTCAGGACAATAACTTGTGTGTAAGTGTATGGATCTTTATGAAATTGTACTGCAAGGTACCATACCACAAAGGGAAGGCTGGGATTGAGTTTTGGGGTGATGAATCATAAGGGGGTTCAATAAATTGGGGGGGGGGGATTTTTTTTTTCTTTAAAATCTTCCATTTTAAGTTGGTTATTTTTGATTTATATATAAAAGCAAATAATAATGATATGGTTTGATTTCATCAAAAATTGAAATATTGGGGTTCTTTGATATGCTGAATCTAACCGTGTATTTAGATTCTTAATTTTTGGTCCCGTTTTCAAATTGGTCTACATTAAGGTCCAAAGGGTCCAAAATTAAACTTAGATTGATTTTAACAAAAATTGAATTCTTGGGGTTGTTTGATATGCTGAATCTAACCGTGTATGTATTTAGATTTTGGATATTGGACCATAATAGGTAAATTAAAAAATTTTAAGTTCTTAGACCACATTCATTCTGTGTTGGAAACCTATGCTGTGTCAAATATTTAATCACAATCCAAATTCAGAGCTGTATCAAGCTTGAATGTTGTGTCCATACTTGCCCCAACTGTTCAGGGTTCGACCTCTGTGCCCAGCAGAACATTTTATTTTAACATTTTCACCTCCATTATGAAAGTCGTCCCCTTATTCATTATGGCTGTACCAACCATGAAAGGGCCTATTATTATTATCCCTGTTGACATAATTTAAGCAATAGTACAGCTAATGCCTATGCTTACATACTGACACACTGCATATACAAAATAGAAATGATTGACCAAGAGGTCTGCAAAGATGCCAAGCAAACAGCTCTATGACTTAATCTGCTTTATTTAAGCTTTAGATATATGCTTAGATGTTGGCAGTGGGTCATCAGCAACATATTTCCAAGTAAACAGAACAGCTTACCTTCATTGCATGCAAGGGTTAAGCTACAAGTTTTAAGAATATGTATTTCTTATTTAACTTTCATAACTATCTTGTCCTTTTGAGTAACATTTGGAACATCTCATTACCATTCACTTCAGTACAAAAAAATGTATGATAAATTCATATTTTTGGAAACTGTTATATAAATAATCTGGCATTGAACAACTATAAGCATTTTGAAAAAAATACATTTTTGGGTTGCTTGTCTACTTCCTAAAATTCCATTTTTGGAAGACAGGAACACTGCTTAAACCATTTGAAGCACCCCTAGATTGAAGAAATATCTGATCATGTCTAGATTACTTCCAGAAAGGAATTTAAGGGAAAGGTCAGAAGGTATTTGTAAATGAATTTGAGTAGGTTGTGTTTCTACAGTTAAGTCTGATTAATGTAAGAAATATTAAAAATAAGATTTAAGAAAGTGTCTGAAAAAAAAATATTCTTTGGACAATTTATATGGAACTTGTGATAAGAAGTATATGGAAAGTCTTATTATAGATTAATGTACAGTTTAGGTTAATTTTGCATGATATTTTATTTTATCTTCAAAAATTTAATCATGGTTTGTCCATGACTAGCACTAGTTAAATCACTTGCATGTTGTTTTAATTGTTGTATTTTCAGGTAGTACAATAGACTGGGAAATATGCAACTGGTTTTTATTTTTGATATTTTTTAACAAATGAGTTCCATTTCTCTAAAAAAAAATATATAGAATACACAGTATGTCATATGGTATATAAAATCACGTACATAATTTTAATTTGAAGTTGCACTAGATTTCCAGTAGCAAGTACTACTTGAATAACTGTTATTTGATCTCTTAAACTGCTAACTACTAACAAATTTGTAAGTCATTATATATAAATATTGATTCAACTTTCTTATACAAATGTAACATTCTTTGTGCTTGGGTTAACTTTAAAGTAGAGATTGTCAGATTGTAATTTAAAAAAGATGATGTTTATAAATCTTTTAATTGTTTTTCTCTGAATTCTTATGAAAACAATGTATTAAATTTCACTTTCATTTCTGAAAGTATGAATTATTTGAAAAGATATCTAATACTTCTTTCTTTATTTTAGACTCAAGGAGGTTTTGGGCGTGGTGGGTAAGTGACAGAATTTTGCAGTAATTAATACATTCATATATTGTACTAAAATTTGTGAAAAAATGAAGTCACTAAAAAAACATGCCAGATCTTGGCTCATGGTGATGAGATGTACTGAGCCTTTTTGAGCGATTCAGGCTATTTGAGTAAAGTTGTTAAAATATGTCTTCCTGCTGCCTTCTCTTTTCAGATGACATTATTTTCTTAACAAAATATGTTTCGAGGACATGTTTACAATCTCCAACTGGGGTCAAATCTCATGCCATGTGCATACAGGTCCAATTTAGATAGAATAAAAATTGAACCAACCTACATGTAACTGGTAATAGTAAATTAGTATTCAGTATTTCTTTTTTGAAAGTGTGAAAAAAAAACTTCAATTAAATTTAACTGTCAAAATCTTAGCCAATGACACTTTAAATTTATATTGCTATTAAGAAATGTTATATCAGTTCATTTATTTCACAGGTTTGGAAGAGGATCCACCTCACCAGGGTCAACATCAGCTCCTATACCTGGTAAGTACAATTTTTATAAGCATTGAATGCCTTTTGGGACATTTAATCTGTAAACATTGAAGTGGTATTAAATAGATGTAGGGTGAAATGGTTAAATGAAAAATATTACAAACAAGGTTTGGGGGCAAATTTTGTGGATTTCCTGGGTATGTGTGAACTGTGAATTAAACAGTCGATGAAATACTAATTTTGTATTGGCTAGTACATGTATGCAGACTCGTGTAAAACCATGAAAATAAATTCACAGTATATATTAGAATTGCTGTATTAATTATTTTAACATGTATAAATCAAGATAAATTTTCTTTAAAAATGTTTGATTTTTGTCGAGCCTGCGACTTTTGTCGCAAAGGCGAGACACAGCGATCCTACATTCCGTCGGCGGCATTCACAAATATTCACTCTGTGGTTCAAGTTTTTGAAATTTTAATAACTTTCTTAAACTATCCTGCATTTCAACCAAACTTGGACAGAAGCTTGTTTATGATCATAAGATAGTATCCAGAAGTAAATTTTGTAAATAAAAAATCCTGTTTATCCATATTTTACTCATAAATGGACTTAGTTTTTCAGTCAGTTAACATTACATTCAATCTGTGGATAAAGTTTTTGAAATTTTAATAACTTTCTTAAACTATCCTGGATTTGTACCAAACTTGGACAGAAGCTTGTTTATAATCATAAGATAGTATCCAGAAGAAAATTTTGTAAAAAAAAAATCCTGTTTATCCGTATTTTACTCATATATGGACTTAGTTTTTCTGCCAGTTAACATAACATTCACTCTGTGGTTAAAGTTTTTCAAATTTTAATAACTTTCTTAAACTATCCTGGATTTGTACTACACTTGGACAGAAGCTTGTTTGTGATCATAAGATAGTATTCTAAAGTAAATTTTGTTAAAAAAAATTTCCTGTTTATCCGTATTTTACTTATAAATGGACTTAGTTTTTCTGCCAGTTAACATTATGTTCACTCCGTGGTTAAAGCTTTCAAAATTTTAATAACTTTCTTAAACTATCCTGGATTTGTACCACACTTGGACAGAAGCTTGTTTATGATCAAAAGCTAGTATCTAGAAGGAAATTTATTTCCTGTTTTTCCGTATATGGGCAATAATTTGGTATTGGGACCGTTTCCGATAACGATAGAAAAGTAATAAAATATTGTATTTTGTTGAGAGAAGTTGTTGCTCCACCATCAAATGCTATTATTTCTATTAGAATATAGGTGCTTTCTAATCTCCCCTAGAGAGAACTTGAAATAAACAAATATTTAAGATTATTCGGCCACTTTTGTATGTCGTTTCTTAGCGTTATTTTCGCTTCCGAAGTGCGTAACGCTGCCCGATTTAAAGATAATCGTCGCCTGCAAAATCGTAACTTTTGCTTTCGAATAATAAAGAACATCGATCAAAAAGAATAGTCAGAAGAAATTGCCGAAAACTATAACTATTTTTGTAGCATTTGTAAGAAAAGTAGCGTTACTTTGGTTTCCAATTTCGTAACACAAATTTTAGATGGTGTAGTCTGCTTTATTGTAAATGAATTCTTCATAACAATATGCAAATATGAACTCTCGCGAGATGTTCAAACAGGTAAATCAGTGATTATTTACATTCTAGTTTTGTTCTTCGTAATAATTAAGTTAGAAAATGACGTTATCGTTATGCGTTACATTTCACACGAAACAGAAGTCCAGTTATTTACATTTTATTTATTAAAATTGTTTTTGTCGTTTAGTCCAAAATCATTTCCGGTCATACGTGAAACATGTGGCAAACATGTGATTAAGCGCTTACTGCCGGGTATATGAAATATTAGGTCTAAACATCGTTTTTGTTTTCAACGGGATAGTAGCAAGCACATTCTGTAGACTGTTTTCATATTGTTTAAAAAAGGAAAATATAATTTTCAAAGAGATTGCGACGGGGATCTATGATTTTTCCTACGTGCATAATGCAGTCTTCACAGTTAACTTTTCAACCTGCAAGTCAGTATGACTTGTGGTTCATAAATTTTTACTAGTCCCCAGAAAATTCTACAAGACACACAAATTATTTTCACCGCTGAGCAGCGCGAAGCGCTGCGAACCATCTAGGAGGGTCTGGGGGCATGCAAAAATTAGATGCAAAATCCTACATTCTGAGAGCTTTGAGTGTCATATTTTGAAGATAAATTAAATAGGAATAACATTGACAATTGGAGTAAAAAGTAGCTGTTATAATAATTTTATTCTCTTAAAAATTTAGAAAGAAGGTGCCTTCTCTAGAATGCTGTAACATTTTTCAGCCTCTGATGGTTCAGCTGCAGGCTTCTCATATTTAGAGCAATAAATTTGTGACTCTTATTCTTCTCGTGAATTTTAATAGTATCCAGTTTAAAGTTGTCACTACCTGGGGTCACAAACTGTGAATCCATTTTATGTTCTGTGCACCATGAACAGAACATTTTGTTTTTCAACTCATACATCAACCACGGACTTCCTTCTAACCAACTGGAAAGGAAATGACGCGACCGTGTAGCGTCGTACTTTCTCTTCCTTACATTTTCATCGGCGGGGGGCTAAAACGGCTTCCTTGGACGAGCTCCGCCAGTACATTGCCGAAGAAACATTTTGGGAATATAAGTTAGGGGGAAGGAAACCAATGATCTTTCATTTCATACAATGTCTCGATCCAGTATTAATCGCAATACGTTTAATTCATGTGAAAAAGCGCAAAATAGAAACCGATTTATTGGTATCACTAATTACCAAAGACGCAAAGAGCGTACCAACTACCAATAAATCTACAAGCCCAGTCGGACTTTTGAACAACAAATTTGACAAGTCCGTGGCCGATTTTACTGGCCAGGACCGTCGGACTTGTGGCTAATTTCGAAGACTGATAATGTTACATACTATCTTGAGTGAAAATAAATGCCCAATGACTTGACAAAATCGATTTCTTATTCGAGGGACGTTACAACACACTTTGTTTCCGGATAACGATGAAAAGATTCCTTGGAGAATTCATATACCATTACGTCTCTTATCATTCTGCTGAAGCTCGTTGAATTGATTTTGCTTTAGCAGTAAATTGTACTTGATATTTTAGGTAAATGAAGATAATTTTTAAAAAAATGAATGTTGATATACCGTTACACTTGGAATGTACAGAGTTGGTATCTTTGTCACAATTTATTTTTTTATGCCCCCGCCGTAGCGATGGGGGCATTAAGTTTTACCCTTGTCCGTCTGTACGTACGTACGTACGAACGTACGTCCGTCCGTACGTCCCAAAATTGGTTTCCGTCCTCTAACTTGAGTTTGCCTCAACCAAATGTTATGAAACTTATACACAATGCTTATTACCACAAAACACAGATCAAGTTTGAATTTTGGTGGAGTCACTTTAACCGTTCTAGAGTTATGCCCCTTTATAAATGGAAAAATTGCAAAATTTTTAGTTTCCGTTCTCTAACAAGTTTGCCTCAACCAAATGTTATGAAACTTATACACAAGGCTTATTACCACAAAACACAGATCAAGTATGAATTTTGGTGGCATCACTTAACCGTTCTAGAGTTATGCCCCTTTAATAATGGAAAAATTGCAAAATGTTTAGTTTCCGTTCTCTAACTTAAGTTTGCCTCAACCAAATGTTATGAAACTTCTACACAATGCTTATTACCACAAAACACAGATCAAGTTTGAATTTTGGTGGTATCACTTCAACCGTTCTAGAGTTATGCCCCTTTATAAATGGAAAAATTTGCAAAATTTTTATTTTCTTCTAAATATCAAGTTATTTTTAAAATTGGAGTTATCTTCCTTTGTCCATGATTATAGTTGAATCAACTACAATGAATGCTTTATACAATGCAATGTTTAATTTTGACTTCTACTGATAAAACACAGATCAAGTTGAATTTGGGTAGTGTCACTTTAACCATTATTGAGTTATGCCCCTTTATAAATAGAAAAATTGCTGAATTTTTAGTTTCTGTTCTCTACTTAAGTTAGCCTCAACCAAATGTTATGAGACTTACACACAAAACTCAGATCAAGTTCAAATTTGGGTAGCGTCACTTTTACTGTTCTTCAGTTATGTCCCTTTATAACTATATGATATGCAAGCGGGGGCATCATCTGTGTCCACATGTGGACACTATCCACATTTATTTTAATTTTAATAATATTCAGCAAACACTTTTCAAATATGCAATAATATTGTCAAAGGAGAAGTAAACTTTTACCATGCATGACTTAAAAGGAAGTACTTTATCGATTTTAGCCCACTAAAGAAGGTTAACATGTGGAAACCATGTAGATGGTGTACAGGTCACAAATATAACATGATGCCTACTATAAGATTTTAGTTCCAAGTTAAAAGTTTTTTTACTTTACTGGATTAATAGGAATTTGACATTGGAATTAATTGTATAAAACTGGAATTTTAAAACCAATAATTACATTTTTTTGGCTAAAACATCAAGATACAACGATTATGGTATCCTGTATCACTTAAGAAAACATGGAAATTTCTGAATAAATTGCACTATTTTTTTCAAAACAAACACATATTTAGGAGTTTTGTAGTAATACTATTACATTTAAGACAGATTTTAACCAGAGATGCAAATCTAAATGCATAAGTATGCCAGTTGTAAATCAATACATGGAAACCGCCAATGTTGTATCCAGTTCAGTTGTATGCGTCACAATTTCATAGCTTTTCAAAAGTGTTATTTCCCTTCAGGTAAGTAGTGCCGGTTCACTGCCTGCATGGCAAATATATCAAAACACTTTTCTTTTCAACTTAAAAGTAACATTTTGCTTTGAAAATATGTTCACCTATATCAAATTTGCCATGATAAAACATTGCATGAAATAACATGTCACTTTAATGTTGACATGTAAAATAAGCTTTTTACAGTTGCCCTTGCTGAAAGGAACTATAGGGTTCTGTTTAATCTAAGGACTTGTGACTTTGAAGATCGGTCATAATTTGTATTGAA